AAAATATCACATACCTACATGATGTAAATCAGGTAAAGGTCTACTACTTCGTCAAGACAGTTTATTAATAAGTAAGTAATACGAATAACAAAATAATCATTGATTTCTGAAAACTTAATTTAAGTAACATTTTATCTATGACTCCAGATTAGGCTATACATATAACTACGCATGCTATAAGTAGGGCTAATATTGCAGTTATAAAATCAAATTTCGGATTGATATAAGTCTTCTAAGTTACAATACAAACGACTCTACATCTGCCGTAATTACGCGACGCTTTGCACAAGTTGGGTGCACTCTGTTCGTTGGTTGTACACCGTACAGCGCACTGTGCACGGCCACAAATTACGGCGCCGCCGTAAACTAGTGCCATAAACTAGGTGGGACGTAAACATGCCACGTACAGATGTACCGGCCGGTAAATGAGAAGTTATGGCCGGTTTCTTACCTTTTTAGGGTAGAAAAAAGTTAATCCTACATTCGGCTTTTAAGATTTTTTTTCAGACCGAAATAAATACTAAATACCTATTTATTGAAACAGAATGAATATTAAATGCTTGTATTATACCATGTACATATTCAGAAACGAATACGTTAATCAAAAATAAAATAGTTGATTCTTAAATAGACAATTTTTCAATATACCTACTGTTTAAAGAAGGATTGTATAAGGTACGTTTATAGAAGTCTTCTAGAACAGGAACTGCTATGCTATAACTATGACTAAACGAGCAAAATAACGGAGCGCATCATGATATTCTGTGTGCAGTAATGTACCGTAACGGATCTGTCTACTATTGCACGCTGCACGCTGCAAATACGCTGCAATCAGCGCATCGCAATTGAACAAACCCCACTCATTAACCCGATACGTGACAGGAGGGAGGCCAAGGGAAATTTAATTTTATTATCGACTAGCTGTTCCCGCGACATCGACCTGGTGGAATTTACCTTTGTTCTTCTAAAATAAAAGTAGCCTAAGTTACTCCTTATTACATCAGCTTCCTGCCAAAAAAGTCCCCTTAACATCGGTCCAGCCATTTGAGAGATTAGCCGGAATAAACAGACAGACAAAAATTATAAAAAATATTATTTTGGTGTATGTACCGTATTTATATTCATATTCATGTAGTAAAAGAACGGTTATTTCAATATTACAAATGTATATATTATAGGATAGGCATTGTATGGTTACTAGTAATGTTTTAAAGGGTGTTTTATGTAATTGTGTACAATGAATTTTAAGAACCTTAAAAAATTGTAGATCATATGTAGTTAAATATTACAGTGGTAAATACTTAATATTTATGTAGTAAAAACTGATAAATAAATTAGAAAAACATACATAATTTAATTTTTTTTTTAGATTTATCTAGCAGGGTTATTGAAAAAAGAGTCAGAAATACCTATTTCATCTGTCGTAAACCAGGGCTGTTCGCTAGTGTATATGCGTAGTTGATATGAGTCTATCAACATCTAAAATTAATTATTGATTTACTAGTAACATAATTCTAATATCAATTTAACGAAATATTATCTACAAACAAAGCCTGGTGGACTGTTTTCTAAAACATCAATTTAACATTACTCCTAGCGGCATTTGTATGACAACAGTAAGATATTCATAATTTATTATTTGATATTATTTAATCGGTGCTGTACTCAAAGTCAAACATTTATTTTATGAATATGAATCTTTACAATTAACTTGGACGATTAATTATGTTAAATAATGTATGCTTTAAATATTTACCAATGTCTATTTTAATAAAAGACAGGGAAAGGGAAAGAATATTATATATATATATATATATATATATATATATATATATATATAATATTCACCTTAAGAGTCCCTTTATTAACATCTTATAATAAATTAGAAACTGATAATAAATATGAGAAAATAAAAGTTATTAGACCACTATTATGTATTTACATCTTTATTTATTTTACTAGTTAATTACACTACAAATAAAATAATCTGAGCTGAAACCGAAAGCATTAGGAACGGCGAATTACATGATTTTTTTTTCATTTGTTTTTTCCATATTCATATATCTGGTGTTTAGGTAGTTTAGACTTTTGTTGGATAAAATACACTTGACATTTTTGACTTTGTAAGTACTTGATAGAATGACTCCTGGCTTATAAATAAGTAGTACCTACTGGGAAAATATCAAGTCGTACAGTAATCCCTTAGGCAGGTTACGTACTTGTTTTAACTAAGTTTTTAATTAAAATTTGCGAATATTAAATTGTCGTTTTAGTTAGGTCATTTTAATTTAGTATACAATGAGATAATGATTAATCAGTATTTATCTGATTGAGTGCCAATGAAAACTTATTTAATAAGGTAAATTAAGGATATTATGTTTAATAATGTTTTTAAGTCTTACATGAAAACAATAAAGTAAATATGAGAGCACAATAATATTTTTGTATGTAGTTTGTGTTTAGTCTTTTCCAAGTATGTACTTATATTTAATATATTAGCTAATGTTATCTTTCGTTTAAGTCTTAATTAATAATTACAAGCATAAGTTCAAAATACGCTAGCAATATCTTTTAAAATTGTATGTTGTTTGTAAATTAACCCATACTAATAATAGATAATAACAATAGATGTAGATTCAGTCTTCAGCTGGGAATAGAATTAACTATAATTATAATAGAAAAACTAAGATATAAAGAGACACGAGTGTGGATATATTGAGTCTATCGAAGTACTTTAAAGAAAAAATCTAAATGAATACATTCATTTTAATTAATAATACCAGTTTTTAAGTTTGAATATATTTACGAATCAGAAATTCATAATTTATCAAATAAAATGTAATAAAAGTATCAAAATGTAATAAATAATAACTTATGTTACTCGATATTATGCGCTCTTTACACAAACAAATAAATGCTACAAATAAAATTTTATTTACATACAATATTAATTTATCTGATACAAAACATACAATTTTATTTGCTTATGCCACGCGAACTGGAAATAATGAACTATCTATATGGTATTGTTTGATCGGATCCAATATTTTAATTAAAAAGCATAGGGTATGATTGAAAAGCTTTATCGACAAGCTCCCAATCCAACTAAAATTTAATTAATACTTGACTGATTCAATTATATTTCGTATCTATTAAAAGCATGAAAGCGCAAATGAATATGTGGCTTAAAGCATACGTTTATAGTTCACAATTGATTAGTTTGTAGATTAGTAATGAAGAATGATGGACGTGTCACTGCCCCACTACTTTCTCTCGATTCCCAGAATGGAGTGACAGATGACCATTGGGATTATAGGCAGTAGTAGTACCTACCCGCATTGATTTAATATTAGATATGGAAGTCTAGTTGTTACTTGCACTTTCGTTGCTTTTTACTGAGATAAAAGATACCGTTCTCGTGACACTAGATAGAAATTTTTCGTCAATATTATTAAGATCCGTTCTACCGTTTAGTCGTGAATATTCAAGAGACAGACTTCACTTACAATATTGTTATGGATTATGACATGATGGGTGCACGTTTTATACTTTGTGATATTTTTCATGACTTATTAGGTAGATACAACTATTAAATATCTGTGTTATTCATAATGTTGTTTAGTAGTATAGTCTGCTCTGTAGATAATATTGCCTCTTGCCTTTGTAAGTTCCTATTTTGTCTTTTATATTTATGTTCCCGTCTTGGATCGGCAACTTGAACTGAAATATATAAGAAGAATTCATATGACAGTAATCGTAGATATTATTAGAAGTATTTTGATTTCAAATACAAAATTATTAGACAATTTATTTTGACTTTGAGCCAATGTTGTTTTTGTCAAAATCAGATTATTTTCTATTAACATCTAACTTGCCAATTCAAGTATTTAACAGTTACGATCATGGTACTATCTAATGCATTTATATATTTTAGAATTTTCTTAAAAACACTACTATTATCATCGCACAATGAAATATAGTTCTCATTTAGGAAAGATATAAAAATGTATAAAAAGTGCAATGTAGTTGAGATTTATTTCTTGAGACATGCTCAATAAAAGTAGGTAATGATAATTACTATTATTATAGTATATAATTTACTACCATAAAACAAATAAAACCCTCAAATATGGCTAATATCCGGGCCGGACATCCGCACGAACGCCGAAGGAAAGTGCTGAACCCTATCTACGATTAATTAATTACTCTAGAATCATTTAAATTCTTTCTAACTGCAATAGTTATATCCACTATTGTGCATATTACTGTTGTGCTATAATTATTTGGGCGATCATACATTATAATACTATTTGATTGCTAATTTTATTCTAATCTTTACATAGTATATAACAAACTCGCCGCCGCTGTCTGTTCAAGCGAACAGATATCTAATTTTAAATTAAACTATCTATTGATGAAAATGATTTTAAAATAATTTTCATCAATAGATAGTTTAATTTAAAGGGACGGTTTATATGTATAATATGTGTGTGTTATAGTGTAAAATAAGCAGATAAATTTAAAGATTTGTAAGGAAGCCGTGCGAAACACGAAGGGGTCGCCTGTTGTTTAGTATTTAATATTTTCAATGAGGTTAACATGTGTTTAATATTATTAAAATGTAGTAATAATCTGATGATTTTTTAGGACTTTGTACAGAAATAGCAAATATGTCTGTTTATTGTTTAAAATAGAGGTTAAATGAATAATGACATACTAACATATGTCATTATTCTTTTAACCCGATTACTAACAATTACTAGATCTTTATTAGTTAATAAAGACCTATTTTAACTATTACAGTGCATTTTCAACAGTTCGAAACAACAACATAAAACAGTTCAATTGCTAAAACGAATTTCAATAAATTCGTTTTTAATTTTATATAAAAAACGAATAACGTATTATTTATATATCAAACTATGTACATATATAAACTGGCTAGTACATCTTGTTATATAACTACTTTTGGGTATAAACGAAAACGTATTTTTACACAGCTGCATACTTCTACGTGGGCACTGCGAAGACACCGTCGAACGTGGGGGCGCTGCGTTTGCGAGACGAACGTGGGGGTAGCAGTCCGCTGAGAAGATACCGGGGCGAGGGTGTCACGCTTTCCCTACCCGATGGCAAGACTCTACGAGACTTCAAGTGGTTCTCAGTGTATTGCGATGAGTACTCGGTAAGTTCTATCTTTACGTCAGAGTTCTTTGTCAAGTCGCAGAGGTAAGATGACCTCGGTGGTGTAACGATTTAGCATACTTCCGACGATCGTGGATTCCATTCCTCACACGATACAAAAATTTGTATTCATGAGTATGATTCTTATTATTTTTTGTATCTATAAATGTTGTTTTTCTATGCAAAGAACACTAGTTATAATTAGGCACATAATCCGCTTTTATAGTTTTACGGTCCATGATTTAATAGAATAACAAAGAGTCTAAAATATAAATTATAAATTACATAAGTATTAAAAAAATGTATTTAAGTATTCCATCAGTTGCCTAATACTCATAATACAAACTCTACGTAATTATCTAAGGACAAATCACACAGCAACATCTGCAGTTAAATAAATAATGGGCACTAGATAATTGATACAAATATATAGATTTTATTTTTAAATACATACCTATTAAACATGAATATAAATGTTTGTGCCGTGCGAGGAATCAAACCTGCGACCTTCTAAACTATCCTAATATCTAAACAAATAGACAACCGAGGCCGTCGAATATTGATACTCGATTCAGAAACTGAATTCAGTATGTATTTTATGATGTATATTACTGCTTCGTTTTCTGCTTTGACAATAATACTCGTATATACAACTTTCCATTTTTACACTGTGCAAAGAATCGAACGGGCGACTATCGGGAGTAAAGTGGTGTGCTAAAACCGCTAGACCACCGAGACCGTCTAGAAGCAATAAACTATTCGTTTTTAGTTATAGTGACTCACATATAAGTTAATAACTAACGTAGTAAGTCAACTTAGGGTAATTACGATGATTTTACTATATTCAGTAATTCGTTGTGGGTGTGTGGGATTGTGTATAGGGCGCTGGGGTTGGTGGAACCAACGATGGTGGTAATTAAAGGCGCAATATGTAAAAGTAACAGTATATTATAAAAATATATGTCGTAACAAACTATGTATGTATGCAAGAGCAAAAGAAGAAAGTAACAAAACCATAGCAACTAATATAAAAATATAAATATTTAAAAATAGGGAATTGTCTTGCTAGCCAGCGGCCCGGATGTAAGGAGTCCTGTACAGTGGGGAAACTTGATTCCTAGGAAACACATTTCTTTAGTAATATTATTTGGTTACATATAAATATAAAAAATACGGATTTCTAGAACTGAGTCTAGTAATTATGTCATGATTTTATTTAAAAAAAATAAAAAGCTAATTTTTTATGCCTTTTATAAATAATTTACGATATGTTTTATTCAGTAAACCTGTTATTCTTTAGCGCCACTATGTATCATTAATATAATTCAGACGTCACGTATTTAGTTTATATTATTATAATATATAATAAAATTCTTTGAATATCTATTCTGATAGCTAATAGGAAAAGCCACTACTTTATCATGGAAGCCAGACATATAGGTAAAGGGAAGATGACACACAAAGTGGTTGATCATGTTTTCGATTATTTTAATGTGATATTTTGACGTAGAGAGTTACGAGTACATTAAGCATAGGCCGGTATATATATTGCTCTTTTTAAGCAAAGTAAAAAGAAAAATATTTTGTGCCTGTCACGCCATCTTTTGGCTAAAATAGTACATAATATCCTCATTTTAGATGTTCGCTGAAAGATATAATAAGAATCACCATTAGTCCCCTCCCCCACCTCCCAATCTTCAGCAAGGAGTAGTTTCACTTCAGCTCTGAATTCAATGTACTCCATTAGCTACTTATGTCGTGAACTAATGGATGTATATTTCGAGGCATTGTTGTGTTTGTTGGCACACTACGGGATATTTTGGGCTTTGTTTAGTATTGTCGACAGAGTTTATGCTTCAGTAATGAAGGAAAATTCTTATGATAATATTCAGATTTCGATTCCCGGTTGATATTAAAATATTTAAAGGAGCATATTTTAAATTAGCTCTAAATTTCTAATTTTTTGCTCGTACGTAGTTCCTGTATGTTAAATTAATTTCTAAAAGTAATATCATTTGCAAATGTGTAATTTAATACGGAAATATTGTTCCTCTTAAATCGTAATTTAACAGCTAAGTATCATTGAAGTTACATAGGAGGTCACAGAAATCGATAGACAAATATATCAATAATATTACAAATAATTTTAAATTAATAGAATAGAATAGAAAATCATTTATTCAAATAAACTTACATTGAAACTTTTGAATAGTCATTACATTTTTTTTAATCTACCTAAAAAAAATTCTAAGAAGCTGTCTCATCACAAAAGAACGTGCAAGAAACTTGCGTGTTGCTCTTTTAAATAATTTTATTATTACTTTACATTTTTAAGTTTAAGTGTGTGAATACAAACCACCAATTATTAATTCAATTAAATACTCAAAAAGAAAAAAATATGAATACATAACCAACTGGTTAAACAATTAATAATAGGAAATGTCATAGTGATTAGAGCAGACCAGTCAGTCAGACACGAGTATGACGGATAGACAAATATATCAGCCACAAGTCTGGACATTTTAGTGAGCATGATTACTCAAAACACTAGACCACGTCAAAGCTACTTACAATTGCTATCTGATAGTTATAGTATTCACATTTTACATAAGAATACAAATTAAAATCAATCAATTAAATCAAGAAAGCAATAGAAAATAAACTATAAGCTAATAAACTAATTATTTACTTGATATGTTGTCATCTATGAATTCGTCTATCCTGTAATAGGCTTTCTTACATAAAAATTGTTTAATATAAGATTTGAATTGCCTCTGTCAGATTTAATGCAGATTCTGGCAGTTTATTATAAAATCTTATGCAATTACCATAGAATGAATTACTGATTTTGTGCAGAAAAGGTAAAATAAGCTTATTTATATTGCGTAAGTTTCTACTTGTACAGTCTTTGAGTTTTTTAAAACTCTCTAAGTTCTTCCGTGTATACATAATATTTTCATAAATGTATTGTGAAGTAACTGTGAGGATATTTGAGTCTTTAAAGCACTGACGTAATGACTCTCTTGAACCCATACCATAAATAGAACGTATGGCTCTCTTTTGTAAAACAAATATAGTATTTATATCCTGCTTTACCCCACAGCAGTATGCCATAAGACATTATGCTATGGAAATAACTAAAATATACAAGTTTAGCCGTCGCCACGTCTGTTAATTGCCTAATTCTTCTAATAGCATATGCAGCAGAACTGAGTCTACTGGCCAAAATAAGAATCATGCATATTGCCAAAGAAATAACTGCATAAAATAAACTGAATAACGTTAAAACCCATCAAATAGAGAAAAACCTTCAGTTCTCTTGAAAAATCCTCCTTTCTTTATACTCTCCATTCTATTTAGAGGATCGAATATTCCAGTTTTGATGTTGTGATAGTATAATCATTTTGCAATATTTTATGTTTAGGTAAACTTCGGTGACGTGTCGATACCTCGTGAACTTGATTACCCGAAGCCAGCTAAGGTGGGCGCTCTCCGAGGTGTCCATGGTGTCTCCTCGGACCCAGTGGTGGTTGTCGATGCTCAGACTCTACTCGTGCCCAACTTCTCATATGATGGAGAGGCTCCAGGTAAGAACTTTTCTACTTGTTTGATTTTTTTACTAAAACTTGTTTAGTACCTGTAACTAGTTTTTGTAAGAGAACCTGATACTAGCAACTTTAAAATCGAGCCATTTATCCAGTTAAAACTAAGTTATTATAATTCCTGTCAGTTGCTCGAAATCTATGATAAAAACAAGTCCTAATGTAAATAATATCTTGGAGATAATACCTAGTTAAAAAACAAAGATACAAATTTATGTTAAACCATCACTTTCCATTAAAATAGATGGAATGATACTTAAAATTTAACGCCAATTTTTAAAACGGATCCCGTTTTAATACGGTGCGAAAAAAATACAATAAAAATCCTTACATCGCGTGCTCTGTGAAAATTATTACAATAGAGCAATCTGATGTACCACAGTTTTATAGAGGACATAAATATCTATAAAAAAGTACGCTAAAGATCTAACTATTACGGTTATGTCACAATTACTAGTTTTTCATGTTTTTAACATGAAATAGTAACGCCGGTACAACTAAGTACTAACGCCGATTAAATAACCATGCGAAGTCAGAGTGAACCGCTGATATGAATAATATAAATAAAATAATGATTACATAACAATTATTCAACACCACAGTAAATAATGAATTGTTGAAATAATTACTGTGTAAAATAATTCATATTGATATTCAGGAGAGGCTTTCCATATGGAGCGTAATGCAATTATTAACGACCCAATGGTGAGCAAATTTAAATTATTGATGCCTATCAAAACGCAAATAGTTATAGATGTATTATAAGATATATATTTTAGTAGAATGGGCAAGTAATTAAAAATCCTGGAAATTTTACACACCGCCATCTAGTCCTAAACTAAGTAGAGCTTCTACTATGCGTACCTTCTGGACAACTGACAGTCATATCGAAATACATATATTACGTATATATATTATATAATATACATACAAAAACAATATATAGATAAATATATTATAAATACAATTGTTTGAATTGTATGGCGGATTGAATACTAGGCCATTGGATTTAAGCGGTTTGGGTAACCGCTGAACCACCGGCATGTATGTGACGTAACTAACCTGCCCCGGCTTCATACGGATAAAATAACGTTATATTATCTATACAAATAAATAAAATGGAAGTGTCTGTAATTTCAAATTATCACTAAATGCGTATGTATATATAGATACATGCGTAGTACATGCGGTATTTACATAAAACTATCATTATAAAAAAAAATCTCTGTTTCTTTGTTCTTGTTAATCTCTGAAACTAACAAATTGCTTTTTACAGAACTTTCACTCACAGTTAGCTAATGCAATCGCAGATAGTATAATGAATAATTTAAGCAACATTTATATTTGATTTTTTTTTTTAATAATTGTTATTTGTAATTGGGAAAAGTCGCGTGTAACAGCTAGTACTATCTAAACTTTTGTCAGGAATTACGCTTTTGATAGACGAAAATCCGTTTAGTAGTTTTTCAGATTATCACGAAATACAGAGACGTGGCGACGAACTTTATTTTACTGTACATATGTACATGTTTTTCGATTTAATTTAATTTTCATCAAAGCAATCCATTTTCGTTCCACTCCCGTGCATGGGTTTTACTTTACAAGATGAGTTTGTTTGTAATTTAATCTAATATAAAATATAGAGTACATTTATTTATACGTTCATTCTATTTAGTTTGGGATAGACAAGTGTGACAGGTTCGTTTTACGCATCAGAGTACATTAATTGTGTGATTTTTCAACCGGTAACATGTCTTCGATCTAGATTCGAAATTGGATTCACTTAATAGTAAAAAGTAATTGTGGTTAGTTTGGTTCTGGCTATCACAACATTAACCGATTACCAATTTTCTGCAGGCAAATCGTCGGTTTATTTCATACTTTCACTGTAATATTAACTTTGTTACAGACAGGTCTCAGAAATACATCAAATTGAAGCAATGTTTACAAAATTATTTAAGATTGGTTTGTTTAACACCGACTTACTTTGCAAGTTCGATTCTCACATGTTACAAACCTTTATTTTTATGAGTATTTTGGTCTGTAATAGTTACAAGCTCTACTCAGTTTGGGACTAAATGGCACTGCGTGAATTATCAATATTTAAGTAACTAGTTACCTACTACTTGAATCATGTACCTTAAATCAAACGTCATTTTGTAGAAATATAAAATAGTCAGTATTAATTAAAAGAAATCATTGAACTGTAAAGTAAATTATGAGCACTGGTAGATGTACGTAAATATAATAAATCCTGCTAATAAGTAGGTCATTCCGTTAATTAATTATATTTATTACTATTTTTTATTTCGTCGTAACCAAATATACTAATTAACGAAAGGATATTGCTGCCACTGTGTAATGAATTTTAACTGATATTTGGTTAGTTTTCATTGGCTTTTTGGTACATAATAATTTCATCAGAATATAATTATACATTTTCCATAAATTAAAATCAGTTCTGTGGTTTATATCGGTTATAAATGGGCATATAGACAATCCTACATTGATAGCGACCTTGTTTAAATTTTAAGTCTTGGCTTCGAACGGATGCATTCCACTTATGTATAAATCTATCTCTAGAATCACTCTTTCTATTGTTGCTTGCTGCAAAACTGCATTTAAATCCGTTGCGTAATGTAAAAGATATAAGCAAATAGGCAGCGGTGGTGACTTTGATTTTTACTATATAAAGATTAAGTAGTATTAGGAAATGTAATTTTGGAGATTATTATTAGATTGATTGAAATATCAGTAAGAATATATTGTCAGGTCTTTTGTTGACATAGTTTTAGTAATTAAGGGTCAATGGGATGTTTAAATTGAAAGAATCTATTCGCGTGCTCATTCTACATTAATTTTGTTCGTATTAAAATTCATGGATTGAATTATAGATATTTCTGTTTGATCATAAATAATACAATAATTATTATAGTAGTGGTTTGATGTAGAAAGCGAAATTAACGCCGAGCTCAAGAGGCACGGTGTTCGTTGTGCGCAGTGCGCTAACTGACCGAGCCGACCTTGCCCTTCTTGTTAGGTGTTATGTAATGTCGACTTCGGAAATATTGTGGGAAAGTAAACAGCCTGTCGTTTTTCCGCTGCATTTATGTATCACTTAGTTTCATATATTTTATTTATTTATTTCAGGCTACTAGGCCCACGTTATAAATACCTTATAGATTAACATACGAGTACATATGAAATATTAATATTATAAAAATAATTGATATAGAAATTGATTCTGCGGTAACGGCACTGACGATGGCAATCAGCCACGGTAGCGTCGATACACCACTCCCTTCGGCCAGTAGTTCTCCTTCATGAAGGTGGGCAATATGCATATATAACGTCGGTACAAGATATGTATCACTATAGTGGTATATTGAAATCTGAGTTTCACTCTCCTAAAATAGATATGTATACAAAAATCCAAATTAGGACAAATATATTTGTATATTCAAATCCAAATTAAATTGGTATAGATTTAGATATCAATTGCAACATAGATAAAACATCGACAGATGGGAGTTTGGTGTCTGTGTTTTACATTTAATGTAGTAGTAGTAATAGGCATATATATCAGTTGTGGCGTCCAGTAATGTTAAAAAAACCTGACTTCATGGTAAAATTAGCATAGAATTGCTTTTGTGTTCCAATAGAGGTATATATACCTAATATATACATAAAAGACACTCGCATAAAATTAAAAACGTTTTCATTATTGAAGCCGATAATACCTAAGTGATAGGTTCTTTACTTAAATTACACGGAGAATTGAATTAAAAAAAAAACCGCTGGAGTATGTATAAAATAGCAATGTTGTACTGGCAACTTAGATGCATTAGTTCAGAAATTTGAAGATAATATATGTACTCATATATATATTATTAAAATTATGTAAAGTTGATTACAACAGACAATAACGAAGAATACTAGAATTAGTTCAGATCTTCATACCTGATGCGCAATTTGAACCGTGTATCCTGTTTTTGTTCTACAACTTGGCCTTCAGTTATCGCAACGTGACGGCATCTATCAAATTTTTTCTTCGATTCAGTTGTTTTTGCGTAATTCCCATACAAACATGCAGTTATTAATTAAAAAAAAGTAATTGCTTTTTAGGTTAATTAAGAAACTCTACTTTTGTACATTGATCCGCTTCTCAGTTTTTTGTCTAAGTATTAAATATATTCATTAGTATTTTTCTTACTTAAAAATCAGGAATCTAAATAAATATATTTATAACGATTTACGATTGATATTTTTTTGATGATATTAGAAATAATAAGCCAATATGTTGTATGCGATTAATATACTCAACTAAGTTTATGTTATCATTATTATATTATAATTTGTATTATATCATACTTAAGTTTATACAAATGGTTAACAGCGGATTTACCTGCTATTTTTAGTAAAAAATTAGCCTAAGTCAGCCTACGTAATATTTAGCCTATGTTCACGTCAAATTCTATTATAATTCCATTAGTATTATTTATATTTATGCAATGCTTGAGTTTGCCCATGAATATGTAATTACACATATCATAGACTAATAGCAACAAACTACAAACGTAAAATTATATTTTGTTTATATTTATAGTCACAATAAACACAATATCAACATATTGTTGTAGATAATATTTAAACTGTTGTTGATTACAAAAGAGAGCTATGATATATTTACAAGATGGATTTACGAGTACGACGATCGTTACTGGAAGCCATTAAAGTATCAAATATTCTCAAATTTTCTTCATTGTAGGATATAAACATTGGAATAATTTAAGATTTTTTTTCAAAACAAACTTATAAAGTATTAGTATAAATGGTAGACATATTACCATAATAAACGCAAAATATGTCTATCTGAAGAAAAATAGGTTGTATTACGAGGACGAATATAAGCTATTTTTTTCGTAGAGTAGCTGAAGTCTCATGTACCAAATAGTCGATTATTAATCACAATTTAAAAATCGATCTTAGATCGATAAACATATGGCTTAATATTTGTATAAAGTAGTTTAAAAATCTAATTCACTTATATCAAGTTTGTTTTACCATATACTTATGGTACGTGATGACATTTCACGTTTCTTCCATTATTTCTCCATCATGCTGATACCTGAATCCGTTTCACGTTATAATGTGGAGATACAATAATATAATCATGACCCATAAAAATAAACGCTTCCGTATCCTCGCTCGCTTCGTTTATAAGGCATGTATCTGACTAACAGCGAATAGAGAGCGCGCTAAAATATTGTAATTAATATATATAAATTGAACACGTAATCACTAATAAGTTTAGATTTGTATTAGAATAAACATTAGATTTTGTAGATCTAAGCGTAATACTAATTATTTCTTCAATTTATATATATCTTAGAGCAATATTCAAATTTTTTGTTCGTTATAAAGCTATAACATTTACAAATACACATATTAATTAAATTAAATTATAATGTTAGTTTTAAATTTATTTTCATATTAACTACAATCTTAAATAAAGTATCGAAACTACTCTTTAAGACATTGTGTTCTATTTGTATTTGTAATTCAATTTGGGAAATATATTTCCGCAATGAAAACAATTCGGTTTGTTTCTCTCAATAACCAGTTGTCCAGTAGCTTTCCTATGACTATTGACTAAGGAAATATAAACAGATTTATATACAATTATAGTCACTTGAATACAAGTTTATTTTACTATAGTTTATATTAAATGTGTATGTATATACTTTTATATTTTTTTATAAATATTAATAGCTTGTCGCTTCTACTGCTGGGAAGACAGAAGCCAAACCAAAACGCCTCGAGTGAACTTTGCGTCATTTCGGCATATTTACGTGGCAATCTGGCTGAAGAATGCGAAGTTCCACGGTTATGCTAATGACTCATAAAACAAAACATTACACCGTGCTATCATAGCCCATAATGCCATAGTTTCAGTTTTAGCGGTACAACCACTGCAAAAAAAACACAAATGTGCATTTTTATTTTTTTGTATGTAGTTTATCGAGCTAAAGCTAAAAAAGCTAAAAATTTAATTAAAGTGCTATAGGAAATATTTATATTCGTGATTAATCTATTAACTATTATTTTAAATGGAAGTTGTTTTATTTAATACGCTTATTTTATTGATTACAGTAATGTAGAGAAAGAGCGCAGAATGATATATTTTTAAATTATATACATATACAATCAATAAAAAAAATACACACACACTACTATGTATGTGATACACATACGCATATGCACTATTTTGTTGATGGTTACAGTCTGTGGTCAAATTAGGAATATATTAATATTATTAATGTAGTCTTACAGAATGGTCTTACTTAAATTCATGGTCGAATGTCGGCGACTGGGCAACCACTAGTATTAACAGTAGTATAGTAGTACACTTCACAAAAATTATTACATATTACCAGGAATTAATTTTAAATTTCAACACAAATATAACTGTATAACCATTATTCTGTACTGTACACGTCACGTTATATCTCGTTCTTTTTTGTTAGGGAAATGTCACGGGTGAGCGTATAATTACTGAACTGAACAACTGTGGAGTAATTTGTGTTTTATTAATGGAGAATTAAGTACAATTTTGAATGAATTATATTATTAGCGTGGTACGTGAGTGAAATTTAATAAATGTGCAATATTCTGTATGTTAAAATAGATATGTTATTTGTTAAACGTGTTACCAATGTACTATATTGGTTATCAATTAGCTTAGTATTAGACACTAGTTATGCCTGCGGTTTCTTTCGCATAAAATCTGTAGCCTATTTATTATTCTGATAAGATATATTACTGTAAAGTTTCATCAAAATCCGTTCAGTAGCCTTTGCATGAACGAGTAACAAACACCCATTCAGCTATCTATCCATCCATACTTATGAACTTTTACGTTTATAATCTTAATCGTAAGATTAATATATATGTGGATAAATATGTACTTGCATTAGGGCATTGATAGACTACCCTAATGCAAGTAGCATTAGGGTAGTCTATCAATAGGTTCTAGGAAATCTAAAGTATATTGCTATTCACATTAATACACGGTTTATTTCTATCACATTTATATTTCATTACATTACATTGCAATTCAATATACTATCATTATTTACGTTATATACATTTCAGTACGAAATATGTAGAACAATATTATTAAATTAAATTTTGCATAATGTTTTTAATTCGATTCACTGTATACTTTCTACTCTATGTACAATGTCGCCTGTGATCATTCGTCATACTAACATTACATGGCATATAATGGAACATACCGTATTACCAGAATACACACTTTGATAAAATTTCCCTATATTTCAAATATTCTATTTCACATTTCCATCTGATATATACAACAAAAGCTTAATTTAATATCCCTGCTTTCAATGAGTGATCAATAAGTGATTTTCCCAATGACTTATTATCCTATTGTTATTGTTTGATCTGGAAATGGGTTCGATGTAAAGAGGATTATTTCTCAGTAATAAAATGATGGCAATTTCTACAGGCCACATAAATGTGATATTGCGCATTTATATCTATGAATGCTAATAAAACATTCATTGCTCAGTTTTTGAAAAAAGATATGATATATGATATAAATAACTTGTTTTGTATGATACCATATTCTAATTTTATTAATGCGAAAGTGTCTTTTAATGATTAATCTGCTGAAGGGATTTTCATTAAAATTGGCGTAAAGATGAATTGTGTAATGACTATTACATTATACAATTTATCTTATTATTAACATATTATATTTAAAGAAATAATCTAGGACATGGCAAAATAGGGAACCTAGTTTCATTGTATTGTCTAAATTATTAATCAACAGACAGCAGACAAACACACATTTGTAATATAGAAGGAGATTAATAAATCCTATATGTATTTAATATTCCATTCCCTCCTTCTTCATACAATACTTGCTTATATAAGGTTCGTTCTCATATTTTAACCTTCTATTATGTATATTATCTGTAGTTATAGGGCCACTGTTGGTACCATTATATGGGACGAGAACGTAACGGCAAACGATAACAATAACTTACTAACGCTCCAGCATCGCTTGAAGCTGATGTTTAGATTATCTAAATCAACAAGTCGCTCACAAGGAAGTCGTTTGCAGACGGCAACGACCAAACTATATTGGGCTTACTTGCTTATCTACTTTCCTGCCTTCCATAGCCCATTACATATTATATGACATTGAGAAATGCACCTGGAAGATCCTAATAAGATATTGGTGTTATTCGAACACAAAGGAAGATAAATAAAAAGTAACAAATCGGTGTACATTTTTAATCCATTATGTTTTTATTCAATAAGTACTTTTTACAGTCATAATAGCCATTAGGTATACATTAAAAATAAAATGAATAAATTTAAAAATAGAATGTAGAATATTAAAGTTCGTTAATGTTTTGTTTTTCATGTGCAAAATATTCCTAAAAGTTTCACGTTGTCATATAAAAAATGTTAATTAAACCAAATAAAGCCTATTTGTTCTCTTACAATATATCGGTTAAGTAATTTTCGGGTTTATCCGATTTTAAAGTCGATTTTTTTAAATTATGTGTAGTGAACCAAACACAGATAATTATAAAATTGAGAAACAAATTAATAGAATATCCTTACATAAATATGAAATTTGTGATGAATATAAATTACTCTTGTTTTCTTACCATTATTATTATAAAATATAAGCACAAATATAATTATCGTAATCAGCGCTTACCGTTCTAGTACCCAGTAAAATATCGTAGGTAAAGCATAGATTAAATCATATTATCCTAGTAACTGAGGTAACACTATATTTATATTTAAATATACACATAATTAAGTTACAAAGTAAGTAGATAACCTTGTCGCCGACCTAGTAAATAAAACTTAACAAATTTAAACTAAAGACACTAGTGTATGTATGCATATGTAATACATATATGTATATGATATGGATGTAACCTATTGTATGTATAATATAATATGATATTTCTTTATATATATATATACGTGCCCAGTGTCACACTGTTATATGGCCACCCTCTCTGCCTTTACAATACCTACTGTGACCATCATGTGACTGTATTGTAATAGTTCTTAATATTTAGATAGGCTATAAAATTACTCGTTGACTAACCGTTTCTTGTAATTCAGTTAACATGCCCATGGGAAATTTTTAATAATTTTTCACGACACACAAAAAATAAACCCTACATTTTTTGTTTTGTTGTTGATCCTAGCCCATTTCTTAATACATATATTATAAAATAACATAGTATCAATGTATTTTTCTATAAAAGTTCCATATATTTTTTATAAAATTATCACTTTACATATTATTAAGTATATTACACAATAGGCATTATATTATTCGATTGAAACTAACTTTTACATTATTTATCGTTATTTATATTTTACAGCCATTCATTTTTATTGAAAACACTCTAGTAATGTACTGAAAATGTTTTTAAAGAGTTATATTTCTATTAAATGTGTCGTTTGTTGCAGATGCTAAGTTTTGGGTTGGCCGTGGCGATAAACCCTCGCCTCAGGGTATTCGTATACCGGACGAGAACGGCAAGGAGGCGCCCCTTCGCAAGTACGACGGTAAAACCATCGTCTTGACGCTGCCCGGGGTGAGGATACTTCTTAATGTCTATTAGCTGTCCAATAGACAACTGCATACATCCGAAATGGTGGTCTTTGACGAGTTTTCTTTTGTGTTGACAGTGATTTGAAAAAAAATGCGTGTCGCAGTTGTCTAACAAACTCTCCAGATATTATGGATATGATGTCAAGGAATAGTTATATTGCTTTTGTCTAAATATAATAATTGAAACATTACTCATACTTAAGTATGACTTAAAAAATATATATCTGTCTATCATTTGTCTAATGGACATTTGTGTATGTTTTTTTGCTTAATATCTTCCATCCATCATATTAGTTAATTGATCTACGATTTGATGAATTGATACGTTTATGATGAGTCTTCTTAATTGAATTTTGATGAATTTAATGTTTCATTCATATATTTTTAATTTCATACAATCAATCCTGATTTAGGCTGTGTTGAACGATATTCAATATATTATTTATTATCCGGATTATTATAGGTACAATAAATGACAATATGCTTATTTATTTAAGAGTAATAAGGTGCTGTAGTAAACAGGTGCTGTGGTTGAGTGGATATTGAAATAGAAAAAAATGATATTTTTATTATAATGGTATTGCTGTTATATATTTTATAATTTATTTATTATAAACCAGTGCTATTAATTCCGCTACAAATATAATAATTAATAATTTGAACATTGAATGAATGTATAAAGAATGTAAGAATATGTCGGATTTCAATCGATAAAATTACAAAGAATATATCTGATTGTACCCACATGTGTACCCAGGAGCTGACGGTCTTCGACATCGGCCATTTTGCAGTATGGTGCGAGGCTTTCACAGTAAACTTCGGCCATGTAACTCTACCGCATTCAGCACTTGCCAACGTACCGCCCAGCCTCAAAATGCTTGGTGTCTCTCCACAGGTACGTTGATGTATTTTATATAATCGTCAATTAATGTTAAATGACATAAAAGGATTAGCAAATTATCGCATTGTTTAATGATATCATTGCGGGTTCAATTCCCGCACAATATGGACGTTTGCAGATATGAGTATATCAGTTTATACTAGTTTATGTAAGTAAGAACCTGTCTATCGGTTAACTGTGATTAGTTCAGTATAAGATGACTTCAAGTGATAAATTCACTACTATTCTATAAATAATAAAATATATTCTTTATTAACAATAAAAATGCAAGCGGGAGAGTGAAATTACAGGACATAGATGTATCACTTTAACCTTCATGGGATAGAAATGGCAACATATGAGATGTAGGTAACACGAGAATTACAATTAATTTTGTGATCTCTATTGTGGTTCATGTCTATAAGCCGATATACTTTGGGCTGCAAACTTAAAAAGAAACATATTTATTTTGCACAGTATACAAATTAATTGTAATTATACAATTTTGACATAATAATAGATATAATTATAATACTATTAGGACTAATTAGTCCTAATAGTAATACAATGCATGTGTACGTAAAATGGTTACCACTGAGAATAATAAAAAAATTGTCTAATCTATAAAATTCAAGCGCTCGGGGAAAAATGTCTACAACTCTCAACAAAATTTAGTAAATTTCTTAATAACGAATTTGAAATTTCATGATAGTTGACAGTGTATCTGACCGGGTGTAGTCATGATATATTTATTGTATTTATAAATTAAAAACTGTATTCTGTTTTATGGAAAACTTGCATATTAGCCCTGACAGCCAGACTGAGGTGGCCAGTAACTCATCGTAAGCTTGTAATAAAAGAATTTTTAAATTTTCCAATTTAGTTGGGACATAAAGTTAATCACAGTAAAAATAAAACAAAATAACATCTAAATGGAGTATCTTGGTTTATATTCGTGCTGGTTGGAGACAGAAGTAGCCGCAAACATAGAATGTGAGGCTTCATGACACGCCGGGCGTCAAGAAGTTGCTTCTATCTTCGGCAACACTTTGTTTGTTCCCGTGCAATAAACAGCTGTCTCGACTCGTAAACCTCCACTCAATAAAGATTAACTTTAACCCCCCTACCCTCACTCACCCCCTGCATAGTCACTGCCGCCTCACCCAACTCGCTTAACACGCGAAAATTATTCGCAAGAGATTGTGAGCACTCTATACCATCGTATATCAATTCGGAATGCCTTTTATCTTTGAATATTAGCTAAGTTGCAATACGTAGATTGCGTGGTTTATTTATTAAGGGAATTTGCATTCATGTTTCACACGTAACAGTGATACGTTTTGATCATTAACATATCAAGATACTTCATAAACTACATAATTTTGTATATATATAGGTATTTGTACATGAAAGAATCAAATTAATTGTAACCACATTAACGCAACGCTATTAAAATGTGTTAGCAATATATGAAAATGGGAGGTTACTGTTACATGTAAACGCTTGTGAGTCGAATCATTAATTTATTCCACCAGTACTTTGTTACAATCTCTGATAATAATTTCAAAGTGTTTGTAATTGACAATAATATCACTATGGTAATGTAGTGTATATTTTTATGTAATTGGAATGATAAACAAATTGCAAAGCAAGCCCATCGCGTGGTAAATGGTAACTGTCAATGTACAAATGCATACCATGTGACTTAGTACTTCTCAAGCGTTGCCACTTCTGAATACTAAGGCATCATTCCTTTTTACTCTGTAATTTCACTACCATATTAGGTTACAAAGGAACTTGCTTGGCAGCAGAAATACGAGTATGGCAGACAAAAATACCAACGATAATAATAGATAATAAAATACGATATAAAAGTATAAAAAGTTTATGTTGGTAAACATGTTTACTTACGTGTAGCAAAACCAACTACTGTAATTATCAAGAAATTGATTAGTTTGTATGTTTAATACAACCTCTAGACACTAGTCTAGACTAGAAGGTTATAGAATAGGCGTTTAGGGGTAGTTGAATATGGCTAAAACAGCCACGGCTGGATCACTGATTTCATTACATAGCGAGTTGGTTTTGTTTAACTTCATTACCATTTATTTGCTACGATCGTTATAATAATTTCAACATCAAAATTTAATTAAATTATCCGATACTAATATATGTATATTCAGATTCATTATAAATTTGGAGTGATTACTATGAAAACATATAAAATGTAGTATAATTGCTAATCGTATATAGAGCTATGTTTATAAAGTATGCACTAGACCTACATACAACAGAGGTCTATCAAATTCTATACTATATTATGTAGAGCTTGTCTTCACTATGTGGAGATACAATTAATAGTTCTGATAAATGTGTGATTTTATTCATAACTAGTGACACATTATTTTATTATGACCTCTTAACGTTAGTCTTTATATTGGCGTACACGTTGAAAAAGTTCAAATAATGTTAGTTACCATTTTATATCGTTACCTGTTTGATAGATGATTGACTACAAATAATAAGGAAAGGTTTGAATTATTCACACACGTTGTTGGTTGAAAAAGCGTTGTAATCTCGTTTTTGTGGTGTGTTACATATGACGAGAACAATAATGTCGCGTCTGACGTTTCACTGAGCAATTTCCCTGATTTTTAGCATAACGTACAAGCACAGATCCCACGATATTTGCAATTACACGGTAAAACATACGTTAAAAAGAAAGTGTTACAAATGATTTTTCTTTGACAATATTTTCACTTTTATTTCTGTTGAAATTATTACCCAATTTCTATAATTTCATAATATTGGAGATAGAATAATAAAATAGGTAAAACTTCAACCTTAAGTATTCTGTAGGTACTTTCTTATTGATTATAGTTTTTCATAAAACATATGTATACTGTTTTATATTCCCCGTCTATCCGATTTCTATTCATGCACATCATCACCAGCAATGCAGCAACAACTGTGTATATTTTTTTGTAAATCTGAAATATAAATGGACACTCTAAGTTTTTGGTATCATTGTCAGAATTCAGAATAGTAAAGTGCGAGGCGTAGTAGGCGCGTCATTCCTTATTTTATTTTCCTACTAATAATAAATTCAAGAGTCCGGTACAATTTATATAATGGAACATTTATTTTCCTTTCTGTCACTCTTAATTTATTATTGTGAGCAGTGTCAATATGAAAAGATGTCTTCTATAGTGACATTTCTGGTATTGCTGTCTATCAGGCAATTGCTGACAATTTTTAATGTCAGTTACCATTTTACAGTGTTAAATATAGAGCAAATTTTTTCTTGCAGAATTAATTGGATTTGATATGAAACCTACACTGTATTCTTTAGGATGGGGTATTGTTATGGTTGCCAATTTATTTGAATCCTTCTAATTGGGTGCCTTTTTGTTGATTATTATTGATATATCTAAAATATTTCTGTATTTAATTGATTTACATAAATTTGTTGAAATTTGTTTATTGTTTTAGCTTAGGATAATATAATATAGTATTTAATTAATGTTTTAATTGTCTTTTTTTTGTGTCATACGATTATTTCAAAGCCAATTCATTATTTATTATTTTTAAATTCCTTAAAAATAAGACTGTATTTCTTAATTATATATTAGTGTGCAGTATAGTAACGGTCTATTGACCGATATGTCAAAACTATTTCATTTGTGGATAGTAATAGCATATGTTAGCAAATACGGAATTGTTCCCTGTCAACATATACATTATTTAATATTGAAATAGGTATTGACACGTTAATTTAAGACGATTATGTAACAAATTGACTGTTATCTATTGAATTCTCAGAAAACAATTTGCATGATTTTCGAGTTAACTATACATTCCTATTTATAACTATACTAAAATTGTTATTAATTTCAATTGCATTACGTATTTACTAAAATAATGTAATAATAATATACAAATATATAAGTATAATTTAAGTGAATTTCGTAGCATAAATCGACTTATACATAGGTTAGTTCAACGTTTTATCGAATAGCCATCAGGCACCGAAACGCCTATTATTTAATAATTATTTATAAAAATAATGATTTTAACGCAAATCTCAGTTAATAACATAATTCAACCTTATGGAAAATAAAATAAGATGTGTTCTCTTCAACTTCACTACTAGCTGCTCTTTCGACACGATGAGAAATGGTTGCAAAAATAACTCGTATAGTGTTAATTGTGCAAGAAGGTGCTATCGACGATTTAGTAAATTTTAGTATTCGTCCAGTATAAGTTGAAATAGAATCAATTAAAGTGAAAAATTATAGTAAAATGATAACAATTTACCAGTTTCGTTACTATTATAAACCTATAAATGATAAGTGTCATCTGGAAGTGGGTTATAATTTTGATTTTGTTGATCAGTGATAAAAATCGATTTTTGGACATTAATATCTAAATAACCGTTTGAGATATGTGCATGCATTTATCTCGCAAGTCTGAATATATGAACCAAATTTAACAGGTTTATAGACCGTGTAAATATACACACGGTGCTGCTCGCCATAAACAGATACGAGCTACCGCGTGTCTAGAAATATTTCTGTATTTAATTGATTTACATAAATTTGTTTATTGTTTTAGCATGAGAAATATAGTATTTATTTAATGTTTTAATTACGTCAACGATTATTTCAAAGCTATTATTTATTATTTTTAAATTCCTTAAAAATAAGACTGTATTTCTTAATTATATATTAGTGTGCTTATAATATAATATATCCGATATGTTATATTACCATGTGTAGATAGTGTGTTTGGCTCGGCGTTATTGATATTTTGCTAATTTAAGAGGGAGGAACAGCGCATGATTTGCGAAAGCATCAATTGCATTCGGTACGTAGGCAAGACTCTTGACCGAATAGCCATCAGGCACCGACTTACGTAGGTTTAACGCAACATTCATCTATATTTATAATCTCAAAAAGTCTTTCGACACGATGAGAAATGGTTGCAAAAATAACTCGTATAGTGTTAATTGTGCA